TTTCTTTAGCCTTGATACTTCACTCCAACAAAGCCCTTCTTCATTCCAGATTTTAACTAGGTGTAAAAGAAAATGTCACCTGTTAAATTACAGGGGGTAACCTGTTATGGGCTGCTTTTGTGGCATCAATAAATTCATCTTTCCTGGGTGGAGAGGGACAGGATAGGAGGAGCCTTGGATGGCGAGGGGGGGCTTGCTGAATCAAGGTCCTTTTCACACCAGCATCTTACCATACCCCCCCATGGAACAAGGCCTGGATGGGGGGAGCCCAGGGTGGAGAGGAGGAACTGGAGTGATCAGGGTCCGACTTACACCAGTATCTTGTCATCTCCCCTGGGGGACAAAGCCTGGTTAGGGGTAGCCTTGGGTGGAGAGGAAGATTCTGGAGTAATCAGAGTCCTATTTGTATGAATTCAGGACCATATCAGGAGGTTACATTTTCATGAATGATATAATCATTCCTTTTTTTTTTTTTTGTTTTTTTTAGACTCAAATTTTTTTTGAAAAACAGGGAGTGTATTTGTTTGTTTGTTTGTTTTTCTTTTTAATATAGTTTGTGAATGACTATCAGAGTTCGCCATTTAACAATAGCGCGATTCTAAAGCAAAAACAAACGACTGCAAAGGATCTCGGATGAAAATGGGCCTTTAAATGACGACACTGGCCGGAAAATGATCTCCAAGACTGAGTGGTTGACGGAGCAGCAGATAGGTCGATACTTCAGCCGACTATCTGCCCTAACCAGAACTGGTTTGCTGCAGAGGTCCCCCGCTGTAAGCATGACTGAGGACGAAGAGGCTGATGCGGATGACCAAGCCTCAGATGTTAAAACTGACCGAACAAGGCAGAAGGCGAGGAGGAACCTTGAACTTTAGATTATTCATTTGTTCTCTTTCAGTTGCCAGGTGCTGGAGGTAGATTTTTTATTAATTGTGCATCATAATTCGTCGTTTAATTTACAAGCAAAAAGAGCTCAGCTAATCGTGAAAATTTATGGCCATTTTTTAATTTACAGTTAGCCCGATTCAGACTCTCTAGGGGTCCATGTCTGATTCAATTTTCGTAACTTTTTAGCATATGTGAAGTGGGAAAATTAGTCGAAAACCTCAGAGTAGGGCACAGCTACCATTAGGTAACTAAAAATAGACCTTTGCCTCTCGCTTTTCGTTCAAATTTATTGCCATGCTTCCGAAAACAACAGCATATTTTTGGGATTTTTTTCATCACTACCTAACTTGAATGGAAACTTCAACGGAACCTATTGATCAAAATATTGCGGTCTCATTCTTTAAGTCACGCAATTTAGGATCGAGCGTGTGAGAGGTGCTTATTTTACTCGTGTTGTTACAGCACATAGTAGTAGGAAAAGGGGGTTTCTGGCACATTTTCAAAATACCCTGAAAAACAGGGCAGTTTTAAAAATGATTTTTTCATTTTTTATCTCATTTAAAAAAAAACCAT